CTATAATTGAAAGCACAACTGCGTATTTAGTCGTCGCGACACTCATCGTCGGCTATTATACTTATAAATGGATAATTTATCCATTATATTTATCTCCTTTATGCAAAATGCCTGGTCCTAGCCCCGACCATTTTTTGTTAGGAAATTTCTTGGAAATTGTTAAACCTAGGGTGAGGGCATAATTTATATATATATAACTATGTTTATATAAAAGTAAAAAAATTTGACTCCGTATCCATTATATTTATTTAATTTAATAAGGGTGGAATGCATTGGGCAGAAAAATATGGCGGTGTATACAGGTGTTATGGATTATTCAATGAACCAAGAGTTCATATTCTCGACGAAAAAAATATTCAAAAAGTACTTGTTAGTGATGCGTATACTAAGTTTGGTAGAAAAATGGCCACGGGACCTTTCAAGAGGATTATTGGAGAAGGTCTTTTGGCGTTAGATGGTGACGTACACAAAAGACACCGTAAACTGATGAATCCATCGTTCGGTCATAACAGTATTAAGGTAAATATTTACATTAACAGCGGGTTTGTTGGATGGAATATTATTATACAATAAAATTTGAATTTCTGGTATTTAATATTGATATTAATATTGTTTTAGAATATGATACCAGCATTTACAAGGGTTTCTAATATAGTGAAAGATCAATGGAAATATGAAATAAAGAATAGTCAAAATGTTAATAATAATATTGATAAAAAAAGTGCATCCTGGGTATTCACACTTAAAATTCTTTATTTCAAGATGGCTTTTGTGTGATCCAGCAAATAATCTTTTCGACAAACTACTTTACATCCTGGATATTCACACTTGAATTTTTTTTTACCATGAATATTAGTGTGTTGGTTATTGTTGATATTATCATCATCAGCATCATCATCATCATCAAAATAGATTTTGTCCTAATGCATGTATCATGTGGTATTTGTTAATTAATATTCTATATAGTTTTATCTATATGAGTTGCTAATAGACGATTTTTCAAATAATCGCTCAACTTTGTTTTCCCGAATCCAATTATTAGTTAACTAATGTAAACGTAGAGTATATATAATACATCTTCCCAAATATTAAGGAGCCTCTTTTAACATCGATCCTGCTTCTACCAAATAACTTTCAACTAACAGTTAGCTGGGAATGGGTCCTTTCCG